CCATAGGACACAATATTTTGGGGAATCTAGGTCAGGGCATAGTTCATGGTGTAGGACTGGGATAGAGAATGTCCTTCCAGATAGTGTTGGATTGCAATAGCCATATTTATTATATATCTAACATGTTTTCTTTCAAGGAACCCAAGGCAACTTGTATAATTCTCTGCATCTCCATTTTATTCTCACAACAACCCTGTAAGCTAGGTTAGGTTGACAGTCCATGACTGGCCCAGACTCATCCCCAGTGGGGACTAGAAGCTGGATCTGTTGACTCCAGTCCAACACTCTAACCATGACACTACACCAGCTATCTCTCACCATATGCTATGCTGGCTAGGGCTGATGGGAGTCCAGCAACATCCATCCCCATCCCTGATGTAGGAGACCTTGCTTGGACTTGTGCTGCTTGTAAGGGGGCATCCGGGAGGGGGCTGTAGGTACCATTTGGACTCCCAGTCTCAAGCACCTAAATGAGTTACAGCAACATCTTTCCAGCCCTGCAAGTGAAAGAGGTGAAAGGGAAAACAGAGGCTGTTGCTTCCAGGCATTTATCAGCTCCCTGCATTTTGCCAGTAGTCTTTCCTTGCTTCTCCTTGCCTCAGTGGCTACCAGTTCAACAAGTTCTCACCCTCCCCCACCTTGTATTCCCAAACATATCCTTGTGCAAGTGGCAGGTATAGATTTTAATTTAGACTTTTGAAAGATTCTCTGAGCATCAGTTCCATCTGGAAAGAAATGTCACCCTGGGACTGATTTGAGCTGCAGCCCTGCAGTAGCCACGTAGTAAATCACTCCATGGAGCTGGCGGCAGCCAGCGCCTTTCCCTGAGACAAGTGCCAGGGCCTGACAGAAGTCAACAGGAATTTCCAGAGGCTGCGGTTTGGGCTGGAAGGAGATGTTCTGGCGCAGAATAAAACACTCACATATCAGGCTAATTGCATGCATGCATGTGCACACGCACACACACCATGTTGATTAAATATATTAATCACATGCACTTCCCACACTTATTGAGCACTCAGTGACATGTGCCTGAAGTCCTGAGGCAGTCCATCTGTTTGCACTATTGTGGCCAAACTGAAATCTATACTCTTAGGACACACGTTTGCACTGCCATTAGGCTTCTCATATACACAGGCATTTTTGCTAGCATTTACCTGTAATGATAAGTTGCCATTTGTGACAATGATACTCTGGGAAAAGGCTGAGTCAATCTCAGTCTCTCTGTCTGTCTCTGTCTGTCTGTCTGTCTGTCTCTCTCTCTCTCTCTCACACACACACACACAGCATCTACTTCCAAACAGGACTTAATTTAAGACCAGTTGTTTCTGAGCCAAGTCTCAAGGAACTCTTTCTGTATTGATGGGATGGCTGAGGACCCCTTGTGCATTACAAGGGATTCCCGGAGTATCTGAAGGTGCACTCTCAGCTCAGAGTGGGCCCTGGCCAGGCCTGCTGAATGCTGCTTCCCCCGAGAGCCCTCCCAACAGCATGCCTAATGCCCATCCTGTGGCTAGGCACTTCAGTGGAAGTCGTAGTTGGCAAGCTTGCTTTAAGGGAAGCTTGCTGATTTCACCGAGGAACCCAGTGAGCTTCCAGGGAAACCCCAGAGCTCCTACGCACTGGTTTGAAAACCACTGAATTAAGACATGGCTCCCTGGGTTTTAGCTTTCAGTGCTAATGCTCGGGCATGGGGAGAATAAAGAGGGAAGAAAGTGTTTTTGAACCTCTGCAGAGTTCCTTTCTTTTGTCATTGGGTAACAACAACTTTCATTTCTCATATGTTTATCATTAGGGAGCTGGGTTCTGGGCCAGAAGAAAGGAGTTGCACAAATTTTTGAGCTCCAGCACCTCACATTTCAAAAGCAGATTCTAGGGTGTCATCTCCAGCTCCTGTTTATGGGTAGAATTTTAGGCACCTACTAGATTCTCAAATGGCATAAATCCACAGAATACACGAACTCAGACTATTTTTCTGCAAAGGGCTGTGAATCAAAGCTAAGTCATGCTACAACCTAAGATAACACCAGCAGGGCAACATATTTTTTCAAAGGTTTTTTTTTTAATAAGAAAGGAGAAAGAGTGATATATAATAACTTTTTGCAAAGTTAGGGTCTCATGTTGCAAATTGGAATTAAAGGCAGAACTGACTCCATATAGACTGAAGGTTACTGGCATCCATGGGGAACCATGTCTTGCACTCACTGTATGCGCATCATCCTGATTCATCGTTTTCCCACCATACTGACATTAAATAACTGCACATGCATCAACTGTGCATGCACACTTTATTTCTAACATGAACAAGCACACACTTTAGTGATTCCTTATGCCATTCATAGTCCTGCTGTGCTACGCCAACATGTACACCCTGTCTCTCTATGCATAATACTGCCTATTGCATACGCACCAACTGGGCTTGTACTGGCTTACTTCCAAATGCAAGAGCTGCATTGCCAATATCATTTACAAATGTGAACACACCACATGCCCCAAAAGATGAAACACGCATGCATACATTTGCACTTTTTTTGTATACTTGACAAGAGGGGTCCCCCAGGGTTCTGTCCTTGGGGCATAGGAATGGGTGTCATAAGTACAGGTTAGGGGACAAGTGGCTGGAGAGCAGCACTTGTGAAAGGGGACCTTGGGGTGCTGGTTGACTGCAGGCTAAACATGAGTCAGCGGTGGGATGCAGTGGTTAAGAGGGCGAACGCCACCCTTGGTTGCATAGCCAGAAGTGTGGCTTCTAGATCGAGAGAGGTATTACTACCGTATATGTATGTGACTCTGGTGCACCCGCAACTGGAGTATTGTGCTCAGTTCTGGGCCCCCATTACAGGAAGGATATAGCCAGGTTAGAGTCAATGCAGCGTAGGGCCACAAGGATGGTGGCCAGTTTGCAGGGGATGCCATATGAGACAAGACTGAGGGAACTGGGTCTCTTCAGCCTGGAGAAAAGGAGACTCGGAGGGGATCTGTTGGCAACATACAGGTATGTGAGGGGGTGTCACACGGAGGTGGGTAGAGACCTCCCCTGCAGAGGAAGGCATGACACTCTCCAACGGAGCAAAGCTCAGGGAACCCGGGTTCAATTTAGATGCCAGGAAGTATGGACCCTGAGGGTATGGAATGGGCTTCCACAGGAGGTGGTTGAGGCCCCATTGGTGCGGGTGTTCAAGGACAGGCTAGACATGCACATGGTGGGCATGTCGTGTGCGGAGCCAGCTGGAGCCGGGGGTCAGACTAGATGGCCCGGGAGGCCCCTTCTGACTCACTCTGTTTCTATGTTCTATGTTTCTAGGAATAAAGACATACACCTTACTGGTTCATCAGCAAAAGAATTGTTCCCTGCCCTTGCATTATATGACTTCTTTATCAATTTGTGAGTAGGTTCACCAAAGTCCCTATTGCAGGAGCCATGAATCTCTATCAGCCTGAGTGCCACATTCAATGTTGGAGGTGTTATGGTGGGGGGTATGCCAGTGGTGCATGGGACTGAAGGCAAAAGATGTGCTCTGATGAGGTCAGACCCAAAATACTAATGATTTAATATTAGTATTAGCCAGTATATTTTAACATAAAGCACTTACGGCCATAAACTAAGCCTTAGGAGAGGCATTTCATTCTTTTAGAAGGGGGGTGGGGAGGTGTTGAAGGCTGGAAGCCACTAAAGGATCTAAGAAGAGGGGAAAGGGTGTGGCTGTCTGGGGAACCTTGAAGGGCCAGACTGGGCCCTGTGACTTTGGCTTTGAACCTCTGTGCTCGCCTGCATGTCTTGTTTTGCTATGCGTGATAAATAACCAGATAGTTTGGATTTTGTAGGAGAATCTATTTCATTTTACCAGGTAGCTGGCAAAGGGTGCAAGGTCAGGAGGTTGAGGAAAACCCTTTGCCTGCTGGTCTCCCACATCCTTAATCACACACAAGAAGTGGGGTGGGTCCAAGATTAATGTTCACAGACAGCAGCAAAATTGCACTGGCCAACAAGTACTGAGGTGCCTGCACACACACACACACACACATGCACATATAGTTTTATGATTGACCAGCGAATGGATCCAGCTACTCTGAATAAGACTAGAGAACAGAATCAACATTTTCTACCATAAACAATATTATTTGGCTTTACCAACACAGATCAATAAAATAGCAAAATAATAAATTAATCCTGCAGTAAAACATCTAGTGCCACTTTGCAGTATCACTTTTTTTAGGGTCAGTTGTTCCGCTGCTACAAACAGTTGCAACATTTGCAAATTTATCCCTACTTGTTGCCCCCTGAAAGGAAGGTCTGGCCTTCCTCTACCTGTTACACACACACATTTATCCTACTGTCCAGCCAGAGGTTTGGTATCTCAACTCCTCCTTTATCTGATGCCCTGAGGCTCTGGAATCGATGACAGCTTGGACTGGGTTTAACAAAGCCCCACTTCACCCAGCACTAGCTTGCAACCTGGAGAAACTAGCCCTGATCCAGGATTTTTGCCACTAATGTGTTTTGCTTTTCCCTTGGTCCTTCCAGCAAGAGCTATGTGGAACGCAAAGCAACAGGACACAGAGCACTCAGTGCCTTTTCCCCTTCATAGATCGTAGCTCATTGTCAAGCCATACTATGCACAGGGCGGCTGGCACAACCATGAGAAAACAGGCACAAGGCTACAGTCTTTAAAGGGCACTTGCATGGCTGGGCCGGAATGCCGTCCAGTCCCATTTGAGCTTCACCATGCCATGTTGTAGCCAAGCATTCCTGCCTTCACACCAAGACAGAGGCCAGGTCAGCAGGCACTTAGCACAGCTTGCCACAGAAGTACACATGACACTGTCCATGGAAGTCTGTGGCCTCTCTGGTGACATAATCTCAAAGCTCCTCGTTAGCACATGCTGACTGCCAATGCAGCGGTTAGGCCCTTGTCGTGCGGCCAAGCTGGGGTCTGCACAGTCCCTGGGGGGCTTGACCCATGGTGCGAGGTCTCTGGAGGGCAGTGCCGTGCTCCCATTCACTTGCAGATGCTCACCCACTCTGTGGCAGGGCACTCTTCACACTGCACGTGGCAGCACCAGTGGAAGCGGCAGTGGCAACGCTGGGCATGCACCTTCTGCAGGACGTTGTGGCCGCGCCCGCAGCACAGGCTGCTGCAGCCACTTGGGCGTGCACTGCCCTTGACGCATGGACGGCCATGGGTGCCTGAGGATCCCAGACTTGGATCGGGCTCACAGAAATCAGGTGAGGGTTCATAGAAGATGAGGTGCTTGGCTAGGTGGGAGCGGTGCAGCCGTGGCCGGAAGGCTCCTGAGTTGCTATTGTGTGGCCGCAGGAGTATGGCCTGGTCCATGCGCTCCCTCAGATTGGAGCCCACATGCCGGAAGTCGGGCACTGCCAACCAACAAGTCCGGAACTGGCAACTCCCTGAAGGGCCGTGGCATTTGCACCTTCGCTGGCCCAGCTCTGACACGGCCTGTCAAAAGGAGGGATGAGAGAGAAGTGTTAGCTGCCAAGAAATGCTGCAAGAGCCTGCTGCAGGGACTGGCTATGCATGCCTGCCCTGTTCTTCTTGTGGAGGTGGCTCAGATGGAGAAAGCCTCTCAGGTGAGACACCTGCTCACTGCTGAACGTCACCCTGCCACTCTGAGTGGAATCTGTGTCTTTCCTCAGAATTCTATGGTGGCTTATCTTTGATGCTATCTTTTAAAAATCCAGAACCACTTCTCAAAGATAACCCTTCCACCACCTAGGAAGAACACCAGAGCAGCTTTTAGGGCACGCATGCAGGACACCCCAAAAGAACTGTGCACATGGCTCTTAGAACATGTGAGAGCCAAGAGAGGCCTTTCCAATGGGGGAATGCTTTCCCCAAGAAAGATTGCCTGGCACCAGGCAATTATCATCTTTCAAGCACCAGACAAGAACCTTTTTTTTTTTGGCATAGGTACTGAGGTAATTTAATGGCCGACCTTGTTGACCCTTTGGGATATGTACTGTTGTGCTTTTTGTCCTTTGCACGATCTTTTAGAACATGGATACTTTTGCAAATTCATATGTTCTTAATGAAAATGTCATTAGATACTGCATTTGGGGTTGTTCTATTATTTATGTCTTTGCAAACCATTTAATGACTCATTTTGGCTGTGAGAAGCTATACATAAATGTGAGAAACTACGTAATCTGGTGTCCTCCAGATGTGTTGGACTGCAACACCCATCCTGATGGGATGATGGAAATTGCAGTCCAACTGGTTGTGGGGGCTGGACCAGGACTGGGGAGAACTTGGCTCAAATTCCTTTGTGGTTATGAAGTTTATATGGTGCCTCTGGGCCAGGCACTATTTCTCAGCCTAGCCTACCTTGTATGGTTGCTGTCAGAAGAAGAAACCTGTACAGTGGCCTGAGTTCCTTGGAGGAAAGAGGAAGATACATGTGTGCTACATAAGAGTATTGCTGCTTTACCACATGTTAACCACGGGAACTGTCATCTTGTGAGAAGGCAGGGGCTCTGTAATAGAGTACTGTCAGCAGCTCACCAAAATGGCAGCTGCCAGAGCTCTGTGCCAGCAGGGAAGAAGAAACAACAAGCATGACAGTTAAATGGATATAGTAATGTATCCATGCACCTGTGCTGTACAAACTATGGGGTGGATCCAGTTTAGACACAGCTAACAAGAATCCCAGTGAATTCAATTGCTTGTTGTTACGTGCCAGCAAGTTGCCTCCGACTTATGGTGACCCCTTGAATGGATGAATGCCCTCCAGCATGTCCTAGCAGAAGAAGCTCTTGTAAACTCACAGCTGTGGCATCCTTCATGGAGTTGATCCATCTCATAGCTGGTCTTCCTCTTATTCTTTGACCGTCAACTTTCCCTAGCATAATTGTCTTCTCCAGTAAGTCTTGCCTTCTCATGATGTGCCCATAATGTGACAGTTTCAGTTCTGTCATTTTTGCTTCCAGGATTCGAATGTTTGGATTGAGTTGATTTAGGACCCACTTCTTCATCTTTCTGTCAGTCAGGATATTCACAGAACTCTACAGCACCATGTTTCAAATGCATCAATTTTCTTCTTGTCAGCTTTCTTCATGCTCCAGCTTTCACACCTTTTCATAGTGATCAGTTGTGTGGGTGATCTTGCCTTGGTCTTCAGTGAAACATGATTATCTTTTTTAGTTCCTTCATTGCTTCCTTCCAAGTCTCAGTCTTCTGATTTCTTGGCTGCAGTCTCCATTTGAATTGAAGACTGAGGCAAAGTAGACAAAATCTTTCACAATTTCAATTTGTTCATTGTTGATAATGTCCTGTAGTTATGATTTTTGTTTTCTTAATATTCAGCCGCAGTCCTGTTTCCACACCTACTTCTTTCACTTTCATCAAGAGTTGTTTTAATTCATTGCTGCTTTCTGTTAGTAATACTCAGATTCGTCATGAGTTGGACTTCATGTTAACCACGGGATGCAATTCCTTTGGCTGAAGCATCCAGTGCACCATATGGTCTGAGTTTATTGGATGAGTTTCAGTTGCTGAGACCTAAGGATGTGGACAAGGTGGCTTGGATTGATCTGACCTACAACCTGTATACTCCCCTTGTCCATCCTGGCTGGTCACACAAAGAAAGGAGGGGGTATGCCCCTGAGTCCAGGAGTCTGTCAATGCTTTATTAAGAGAGGGAATGGTCCCAGCCTCATTAAAAGAGGCTGTAATTAAACAACTCCTGAAGAAGGCCAACTTGAGGCCTGTGGACATTAACAGCCAATATCCCTTCTTGGACAAAGTGTTCGAGTGGGTGGTGGCTAGTCAACTCCAGGCTCTCTAGGATGAAATGGACCATCTTGATCCATTTCAGTCAGGATTCAGACCTAGATTTGGAACAGAAATTTCCTTGATCACCCTGTGGGATGACCTTTGCTAGGAGAAAGACGGGGAGCGCACTGCGTTGGTTCTCCTGGACCTCAGAGCAGCTCTCAGTACCATCAGTCATGGTATCCTTCTGGACAGGATGGTTGAGTTGGGAGTAGGAGGCATTTCTCTGCAATGATTCCACTTCGACTTGACCAATTGTGTCCAGAAGGTGATGGTGGGAAATTATTTATGCCATGGAGTCCTGCAGGGTTCTATTTTATGTCCCATGGATGTTCTTTAACATCCACATGAAACTGCTGGGAGAGGTCATCAGAAGTTGTGGCCTGAGAAGTTATCAGTATGCTGACGATACACAGCTCTACCTTTCTTTTTCATCTGATGCAGCTGTGACAGTAGATGCTCTGAGTCATGGTCTGGCCTCAATAATAGATTGGATGAGTGCCAATAAACTGAAACTTAATCCAGACGAGACAGAGATGTTGGTGGGGAGATCGTCTGCTCAGATGGGCAACATTTGCCTGTCCTGGATGGGTTGCCCACCCCCCTAAAGGACAGGTTCATAGCTTGGGGGTGCTCTTGGTTCCTGAATATATCCAGGTGGCTTTAGGGGCCAGGAGCACCTTTTATCGGCTAAGGTTGATATATCAGCTATGGCCTGTCTGGACAGGGAGAACCTGACAACAGTTATCTTCTGAAATCCTTCAGTGTGCTCCAGTAGTCAATGTACATTTGCAATATGATTTCAAGTGCCCCTACCTTGTCAGAATCCAGCTTGAATGTCAGGCATTTCTCACTCCATTCTTTGTTGCAACACCTTGAGCATCACTTTGCTTGCACAGAAAATCAGCACAATGGTCCTGTAGCTGCTTCAGTCTTTTCTGTCCCCTTTCTTGAGGAATAGACCACATATTGAAAGATTTCATTTGCAAGCTATTGTTTTGTTTCCCATGTTTGTTGGCATATTCCTATTAGGATTTGGACCAATCCAGTCTCTGCCACCTGGAATAGTTCTATAGGTACCCTATCTACGGCAGGTGCTTTACTCCTTCCGCATGCTTTCAGAACAGCTTCCACTTCCCTTTCTAATATTGAAAGTTCTTCCTCATAGGGTTCCTCTTCCTGTATTTGTTGTTGTTGTTAGTTGCGAAGTCGTGTCCAATCCATCGCGACCCCATGGACAAATTCTTCTATATATTGATTCCCCCTTCTCTTTATTTATTTATTTTTCGATTTATATCCTGCCTTTTTCCTACAAAGGGCTCAGGGCAGCTTACATCTCCTCCTCCATCTTATATCCACAACAACAACCCTGTGAGGTAGGTTGGGCTGAGAGTCTGTGACTGGCCCAAAGTCACCCAGCTGGCTCCATGGCTGAGCAGGGACTCGAACCCAGATCGTCTGAGTCCCAGTCCCATGCTCTTAACCACTACACCAGACTGGCTCTCTGGCTTTATTTTCTGGCTTAACCACTACACCACACTGGCTTTATTTTCTCTTGGTTAGATAGTATATTTCTCTGTTGGTCTTTCAGCATTCCTGACCTAGTTTGAATTTTCCTTTGATTTTTTGGATTTTTCTATAAGAGGTCCCGCTTTTCTTCTTTTGTTGTTCTCTTCTATTTTTTTTCTTTTCGCCATTTTAACAGCACTTTTAATCTCTACATGATAGTCACTCATGAACAGTTGCATTCACAATTCTGACCCTATTTCAGTAACCTGTTGCTTTTGCTTCTCACATGTCCCTGTGAGTGTTTCTTCTGACATTCACCCAGGCTTTTTCTTCTTTTTGCTGCAGGAATTGTCTTTCGACATTCTTCTCTAATAAAGTCTCTGGTTTCAGTGCACAGTTCTTCAGGCTCATGGTCAGCTGAGGTCAATAATGTAAATCTGGACTTTATGTGAACTTTAAATTCTTCATTTATGTTATTTAAGTTGTATTTTGGCACTGTGCTTCTCTTATTTTTGATATCAGTAGTTCATGGTCACCACTGCAAAATGTTCCTGGTTTTGCTTTGGTAGTGAAAATATAGCCTCTTCATCTTCCACGCCCAATACACAACCCATACAGTCATCGGATTGGTGGTCTGAAGTATGTGTTTGTGATAAAAAGATTCTTGGCTTCACAGAATTCTATTAGTGTTTTCCCTGCTTCATTTCTTACCTCTAGACCAAGTACTTGAACAATGTTTGATTCAGTTTTGTTTCCTACTTTTACAGTCCAGTCACCTATGATTATAAGCATGTCTTATTTTGGTGTGTGATCTATTTCCTCTTGAACACTTGCATAAATGTTTTTATTTTCTTCTCCTTAAGCATCTGTTCTTGGAGAATAGACTTGAATGAAGCCTATGTTGCTAGGCTTTCCAATTCTGATTGATATATCTTACCTCAATATTATAGCAACTCCATTTTTTTCTGTGCTTGCCATCCTGGAGTAAAACACTTTGTCTATCTGAAAATGTAACATTCCAGCCCATTCTTGTTTGTTCACACTAATACTGCAATATTTAACTGTTCCATTAAGCAAGAAAGGGTTTCTGGTTTGCCTTGAGGGCACTATATATATGAAATTAATAATAACTTTGTTCCAATTGTATGTGTTGTGCAGTACTGGACTTTACTTCTAGTTGCATCATTAGCTACAGTGCTATTTGTACTTATCTTTTGCTCTTCCCTAGTATCTGGTTGATTGACTTCCAACCTGGGGGTGGGGGGTGTCTCATCTTCTGGCGCTAGTTTGTGTTTTATTTGGTTTGTTTCATCACTGAGGTAAGAAGATTCATAAGTAGTTTGCCATTACCTTCTTCTGCACAGTACTAACCAGAGTTAGCTTGAGTGTCTCTGCCACTGTCTCCTTCAACTACTGCTGCTGCCCAGTGGCTGCTCCTCAGGTTTCTCCACCCCCATCACCATTAGAGAGATCCATTCTCTTCTGCAGGCGTGACTGTTACTCCTGCAGAAGGCGGATGCATCTTAGTCTGGTGTCCCAGCTTCAACCATTCTGCCTTCGGTGACCCTGCCTGGGGACCAGCCTCCTGGCAGCATTGCTCTCAGCTTTTCTGACACTCTCAGACCGTCTCGTCCAAGAGGGAGGAGGTCTGCTGTAAACAGTGACTAAATCCAGACCCAGCCCAGTGAGCATATCTATACTACATACTTTGAGCTGGCCTTCCATGTCATCACTAGCCAGGTTGCCACAGGTGGCAACGGGAATGCATGCAGGGAAGTCTGTGCAAAAGGGTGAATTGGCAGAGGAAGGAATGGGTTATCTCTGTCCTCCTCTGTGCCTGGCATGAAAACCCAATGGATGCCAGAGGAGAGAAGCTTCCTCTTTGTGCCCAGGACAGGAATATCTAGGAGTGCAGCAAAAAGGACAGAACACTTCGTCCCTCCTGTGCAAGCTCCCAGCAGTATAGGAAATACCTTAAACCTACTCTGCTTCTAGAAATCTGGCCTGGACAGCTTTAATAGCCTTTCCCTCTTCTACAGAAACTGTAGTTCCATGAGGGAATCAGGATGGAAAGGCTGAATCAGATTCTTCAGGACTCTCACTAAATTGCTATTTCCAGGATTCTGGGAAGCATTGGAAATACCTGCAGAGCGCCAGGTAGTCTAACTTTTCCAACTTAGTGCAACTTTTTTTAGCAGGCCTTCTGCAAGCCCAAGTACTGTAGCTCCTGCTGCACTCTGCCAGCCATGGTGGAGGAACCACTGTGGATAAACACAGGTACCACTGTGAAGATCCATCCCTTTTTGGCACTTCTGGAATTAAATAGAATTGTTGTTCCACCAGTTACTAGTGCCAGCAGCACAAGACTTTCACAACAGGTATGCAGGAGATGGGGAATGCTTTCTGAACCCACAGAAGGTAATGCTAAGTGGTACCTTTCAATTTAGTATGGAAAGTTCACTTTGTATGTCACTCTAGCCTTATGTCTATACCAAGATCCTGCACACTACAGCCCCCTAGTGCCTATAAAGTGTTGAAAAAGAGAGCAACAACAAATCCCGGAGGAATATAGAAAGCACGGACTTCTAACTCAAATTGGCTTTAAACGCACACATGTGCGCTCACAGAAAGAAATGGATTTGTAGCCGCTTGATTTTAATTTTTAGATCATTCCCAATTCTGGCTACAAATATATCTAGGGGTGTTAGTGGAGAGAATAGTCTATAAGCATTTCCTCCAAATTCCTAAGAGTCAAACCACCAGTTTTGTATGTTAGCATTTGAGGCATGCTTCACCATAACTGGAAGACCAAATATAACATGGATGGACTCCATAAAGGGAGCCACAGGCTTGGATTTAGAACAGCTAAGTAGAGCTGTCATGGATAGGACTTTTTTGGAGGGCTTTCATTAATAGGGCTGCCATAAATCGGAGATGGCCTGATGGCACACATCACCCAAGCAAAAAGATTGCAGGTTAGGGTAGGATCTACCCTTATGTACAGTAGCATTCTCCTGTATTTCTAGATTCATATATCACTTACTGAATTTTAAAATACCTGTAAGTGGTTGGGCAAAAGTACATACAAAAAAGAAACATTTTAGAAGAAGTGCATACATACAGGAAACCATACCTATTTACATGCAGAATTTTTGAAAATTCACAAACTGATGCAGACATGGGACAGAATGAATTCAAGAATGGAAAAAGGAAAAAAAAAACAACCACCACAGAATTGTCCTATCCCGCCACCCCAAGTGTGCACAACTCTGTCAGGATGCCCACTTTAGTGATGCCAGCTGCTCATGCACCTTACAGTCCCATGTCCCAAAACCCTTCCTCAGAGAAATGTCCTACCTTCCTGCCAACACGATGGCTGTGTAGCTGCATCCTTGCATGAGCATCACGTGGTTTCCCTCGAGGGTCCAAGAAGTGCCGGGTAAATCTCTGGGCATAGTCAAAGTCCGCACTGCATCCCCCCCACTCCCAGGTGTCCTGGGGACCAGGCTCCCCCCACAGCGAGGATGGCACAGGGGGCAGGCCCTTGCCCCGGCTTAGTGTCTGCAGCTGGTTGAGCTTCAGCTTCTGGTTCTCACTGCCTTGCCCGGCACAGCCACAGCTCTGCAGTTCCCCCAGGCTACAAGCTGTGGCCACGGCATGAGTCACCCCAGCTGCCAGCAAGGAGAAGGCAAAGGCACTTTCCCGGAAGCCTGAAAGACAGACAAGGGGGTGGGGTTAAGCTGAAAGTGCAACTCAAGTATCCAACCAGGAAGTATTAGCAAGGAGGAATAAGGGTCCAGGATGGTGTCAATCTAGGCCTAGCTGCAACCTTTTCACTCCAACCTCACAAAGGGACTGATTCACCCCTTGTCTTCCACTGTGATCTCTTCAGATCCCTGAAATCAGGGCTGTGTGTACAATGCATTGACACAGCAACATTTAGCGTTAAAGTGACACATACAGCATGCCAAAGAAAGCAGAATCCTGCAACTGCTGGTATAAATCCAATCATGCATTTGTGCACACAGTTGCTTCTGGGTTTGCAAGGAGCAACAGCTATGTAGCAAATCCACTGGGCACCTATTCCCCTCCCTCCACTGCTGGAATTCCTGTTCAATCCATCATCTTCTGGCTTCCACAGTTTCATCAGGTATTGCTCACAGAGCATTGACTCTGTTTTCACAGGCCTGATGATTAGGAAGTTCCTTTAAAACAAAAAACCCAAAAATTGAAAGCTGAGGGTTTTTTTTTCAGAGCTGAATTCCATGCTTGTGCAGTGATGTCACAGTGTATATTGAGCCATGCATAAGATAGGCTGAAAACATCATCTTAGTAATAACATTGTGCTTATGCCAGCTGAGAACATCAGCAGCTATGCCATAACGGAGGCCTGCCCTTTCCTGGGCAGAGTGCCTCAGTCCTTGAGTGCCTCAGACCTTCATAAAGCATTTCTGATGGGTTCGGCTCATGATGGCTGAGGAATGGATGAGTGTTTTTATATGTTGATGATCCATTTTTTCTTTTACCATCAATAAGTGTTTGTAAATTTTACAAGCCTTCAGGGTGGGTGGGTCGCCCTTTAAAATCTCTAATAATTGAAAGCCAATTTCTTAAATGAACTTAAATCATGGATCTCTTGTCACAGCTTCCAGAAAGAACCCTAGGATCTCCAGTTTGTTGGGATGAGTATTTTGTCAAAAAGCCCTACCAGACCCATTACCAAACCATTCCCAGGGTACCCTGAGGAAAGGCACTTATATTTAAGCCTGTGCATAATGTGCAATCCAGTACATGTCTACTCAGAAGTATGCTGCAGTGAGTTCAGTGAGACTGGTAAGTATGCACAAGATCTAAGCTTTCAGTCCTGATCAAATAAGTGACTCCGGTTTCTTGAGGTGCAGCCCTTACATGTTTAGACAGAAAAGGGTTGTATGTCTCTCAAGCACTCTATAGGCAACCATGCTGGCTAGGGAACGCTGGGCATCATAGGACCTTCTCCTATCTAAGCTTAGGATTCTGGTCGAAAGGGTTTATTTTCTAGCACAGAGTAGCTGTCTCTCTCTTCATGAAACCATCCCTTTTCTGATATCCAGCAGCCTCACCTTATAAATTTCCCTTGTGTCTTGTTTTTCCAAAGCACTTCTTCCTGATCCATATTTCCCACTGTTACCCTTTCTGATGTCCCCCCAATCCCTGTGAAGTGGGCTGAGACCCACAAACCAAGCCTGATCCATACCACTACTCAGAAGCTCAGGTGCTTGGGTTGCAGCTTGCTCTGGCTCTTGTCTGCCCAGGGGCCTTTCTTTGATCTCAGGTTTAAATTTAGAACCAGCTTCTTCAAAGCGGATTATGAACAACAGAGATTCAAGCAACAAAAGAAAGGCACTCCCTGCCAACTTGCCTCTAGGGTCAGGTGTTGGCCACTGTGTATACAGCCAAGGAAAGAGGGTTGTAGACTCCTAGGGAGGCAGGCAGGCAGGCAGGCTTGGGTAGTGCAAAGGAGGATGGGTGGGGGGTTGGCAAGAGGCCTGCATACCCTGATGCTACCTCCTCCCCATCTGCTGGCCAGATGGGCAGGCGTCATCACCATCCCCTGTGGTTTCCTGCTGCAAACTGCCTGCCTACAGAAGCAGGGCTTACAGAAGCAGGTCCAGCCTTCTTGGCAGTGCCACCCACTGCTCACTGCTGCAAGGGAGTGGGGCTGCTGTGGCTGCTGGGCCTTCTTCTCAGACTGGAGCAGTACGCCAGGGGTGTGCCAGAAGCCAACTCTGGCTGTCAAGGCCTTGGCGGATGCCTGAGAGTGCTCCCTCCTTGCTCTGGCCCTGAAGTAGGCCTTGGAAATCAGGGCCTGCCCATCTCCACTTGCTGCCGTCTTTAAGAGGCAAGGGATACTTATCCTGAGCTCAGGATATCTGGCTAGTCACAAATCCATTAAGGTGGGAAGATCCACAGCAGATAGTTTAACTTGGGGATGGGCAAGACATGCCACCTCCCACTGCTGCCAACTTGGACTCACTGGCAGCAAACACACTGTCTGATGCTTGCTCATTTGTTGGTTTTGCTGACTCTTGCAAACACCTTCATTTCAGGAAATGTTCCTCAACTGACCAGCCACAGTTTTATCAATGTCTTGTTTTTAACATACTGTTTTATCAAGTTAGTGCTTACTGTTCCAAATGATGATGACTATTTCATTTCTTTACCATTGAACAGCTGAAGCCCTCAGGGTAGTTTACAGCATTTCAGTTATTTATTTATTTATTTATTTCACTTCAATATGGGATGGTGTATAAATGCTGTAAATACATAAAAAGAAATGAAAGTTTGGACGTATGCATTTGTTTGCTATATTTTCTTGTATCTTGGGGAACGGGCCACTTGCTTGGAAGCAGAATGATGTCTGAGGACTGGGGAATGGATGGTGCATTCCTCCATCCCAGCCTCTGGATGTTCCCACCTCTGGCTTGGCCAAAAGTGGCTTAGAAAAAATCCTACTTATTGCTTCCTTACCTTAACCTGGTACTAGGAAGAACAATGTAAAGAAGACCACTGGGCAAATTGCTGAATTTCCCTAGCTACTTCTAGCTCGTGGGCACCCTTCAGCTTGCAGGAGGATTGATGAGCAAGAAAGAGAGCACCCCTTCCACTGGAAATGAATCCTTTGCCTTAGTGTTTCCCAAATGTCTGATAGCTGCAGCACCTTTTCTCTCTCTTCCAAACATTAAAATAGGAGGCACCCTTCACTTTTACAGCCAGGCAGCACAAGCATGCCAAGAAAGCACCGGTAAGGTGTCAAAAGAAATGCAAGAGGTAAATCATCAAAAGCTCCTGTCAGCCTGATGCGTACACCCCAGTCCCAGCGGGATCCAGCCTTGGTCCTTTCTGCATGTCAATGATCCGGCATATTGCCAGGCAAGAAGGAGGCAGAGCTACAGGGGGCAGGTGTCTCTGAAGTGAGGAATTCAAGGTCTCTACGAGGGGAAGAACTGAATGTTCCAAGTGCACTGAGCACGGAAATGTAGCAGAATTGCCCACCCCAGCTGAAGTGGACTGAAGGAACCAGGGATGTGGTTGGGCAACCTCTTCTGTGAGTGGGTCCTTCACCAGCAGGGCTGCTGTTATTTATTTCTGAGGGGCACACTGGCAGTTATTTCATGGCACACTGGGAATCTGGCTGCAGCTCAAGCTCCTGAGGCCCTGTGGTCCCTCTCCAGCCCTTAAAACCCAGCCAGTCACTAGCCAGCCCCCTGCTCCAGCCCCTTCTCAATTCCCGATGATCTGCAATAAATCCTTACTGGGGTGTGCTGCAATTGATCATCATGGCCTACATGTATGCATATGCTTTAAAGAGCCACTTAAGTCAAAGAGAAGGCTTTGCTCCAAGGTGCTTACCTACATTTACACTTGTAAAAACATTCCAAATATATCTAAGGTCTGCTTCTTCTCCCAACAGAGGGGAGTGCCCTTCCTCCAGGATATATAAACGAGAGCCTTCCAGATGTTTTGGACTATCAAACGTAGCCCGACCAATCTCAAGGATTTTGAAAATTGTAGTCTAACCCATCTGGAGGGCACTAAGTTACCTAACCCTGAGGACCTGTTAGGGGTTCCAGAAGGCCAAGCCAGCCTCTCTGCTCAGGTTTCCATTCTTCCAAATTCTGCAGCTCTCTTTGCACACATGTTCAGTCCTCGTTGGGCTGTTGTTGGAGGGGGCATTGCTCCCCTCTTTGGGGTTTTTGATCCCACCTCCCCCACCCATTTTTGAATGCCCCCCCCCCAAAGCACTCTAATGCCCCAATTTGGCATCGGTGCTTTCAGCACAGGAGTGAAACAGGGAGGCAGACAGACGGGAGGTACAGCAAGAATAGCAAGCAATGGATCAAGTTCTAATTTGATTGCTCACAGACCCTCGTCACGGCACAGGAAACTGCTCATCCCAGCACTGGTAGCCTTTCCCCAAACTGCTCACCTCTCTTCAGAATGGCACTGTTGAGAAGCACGGTGCCACCACTGCTCAGGTCGGAGCAATCCCAACGCCTCTCCTGCAGCTGGTCCTGGCACTCGTGGATGGCAAGGAGGATGCCCTGGAGAGCTGAGGCCATTGCTTCTGGGCTTCTCCTGCAGAGGCCAAGCTGGCGCCGGCTCAGCCAAGGGAGGGTCATGCACACCGTGTTGGGATTAAGGACTGGTTCAGCCAGTACCTTTGGCCCTAGGAAGTCATGGCCAAAGGTCCTATCAGAGGACACAGGAAGTAAAAAGGAAGCTTGACTTTGGAAGCAAAGACACAGAAAGGGAAGATGGGAGAGACTAATCACTTTACAGATCAGGAGCTGACAGCAGTGAACAATGGGGAAAAAGAATAATATTGTGCAACTTGACATCTGATCACTTCTTCGGTAGAATTATACCTGTCCACCACAACAGTACTTATCTTATTACAACAGTCTGGCCCAGCAGGAAATTGCACTGGGTCTCAGATCAACATTTCTTTGCCTAAACACAGAATGAGAGAGCTCTGAAAGTGGGAGAGGCTTGTGAACCAGGGGTGGGGCATGTGTGTAGAGAGTCTGTGCAACACAAGAACCGATGAGGCATCCCCTCACTGTACCAGTTACACACACGCACACGCACACGCACACACACACCATGTTATTATAAAACTGTCCTTCCCATAAATGTTACCAGCAGGGAGAGGGCAACTGGATCCTAGAAGTCCCAAATTCTTTCTCTCCTTATGGGTCCCACTCCCCCATCCCCAGAGCTGGGGCAAACGCATCCTCTCCTACACATATGCAGGGCTGTGCAGAACCCTTGTGGCCATCCAGCCGAGCTCCACCGCCGGAGGGAGATTGGTGCACCTGGGTGGCTGTGTTTCCAGGGGGAAATTCCCTGCCTGCCCCCACTCCACTGGCACCAGATGAAAGCAAGGTTGAAGATCAAAAGCATCACCCTGCGGGCTCAGCACCCAAAGAAGGGGGGTTGGAGGGAGGGGGGTGATCCCATGACAGAAAGTAGAGCCCCTCCCAGACCTAAAAGCAGGGTGTCTCTGCGGCAGCAGAGGGAGGAGCAGGAATAACCCGGGCAGTGGCAGATGCAGACATGTTGATGTGGGAAAAGGAAACAGAACAAAGTTTCCTGATGAGAAGGGCTGCCATAGCACCCTCCTCTGGGGAGAAGGGTCATCCTCATGGCAATTATAGGTAAGGTTCTAGCGATTTCTTCATACTGACACAAGGTCCAATTAATCCTATCACTGCCGCTTCCCCAAGTGAGGTATCCCAGATTAGCAGCCAGTCTTTCTCACAACAGACACATTAAGGCACTTTCCAGGAAAAAAATATCTGTCTTAGGGCCCTCTTACATGGCCAAACCAGCCCCCAACCCCCTCATCCCAGGACACGATAAATCCCCAGGACCAAAAAAGAAAAATAATTTCTTACACTCTGAATAGCAATATTTGAGCAGAACATGGAGGAGTGCTCTTAGGACAATGTTGCCAGCCGTGATGTGTATTTGGTGCTCACTCTGCACAAAGGGGCAATTTATTTATTTATTTGTCTATCCCTAATTTGCATCCCATGACAAGACTTTTGATTATATCAGTCAGAGAGGCAGTTATCCAATCCTATGTCAATTTCCCAGAGAGGAAGCCCTTTTAAATGCAATGGGATTTACCGCTCAATAAGCTTGGCTAAGCTGAAATCCGGTGCACATTTCTTTGGGGTGAGGCCCGCTGAACTGAGTGTCACTTATACGCAAGCAAACACCATTTCCCCAATGTGGTCTCCTGCAGATGTGTTGGGTCGCAACTCCCAGCATTCCCAACCACATGGTCACTGCTTAGGAATGGTGGGCATTCCAGTCCTATACATCTGGAGAGTGACCGGCAAGAGAAGGCTGATGCATACAAGCTGGTGTGTTAGTGGCAACACAGCCCTCCATCCATATACACATCTGCTGAATAACCTTACAAAGGTGCCACAAGGAACCACAAGGACTGTAATGCCCCATCCCTTCCTGAAAAGGAGGCATCTCCAAAGCAGCTGCTATATAAGATGAGAAAAGTCCATCCCCGTGAACATCACCGAGCAAATGGAATCACGCGAGCCCCGTTCCAGGGACATGTGCCCACTCGCCCATTTAATGTCTGCCGAAATGGAGCTGAGATTGCTTATTGCGACTGACAGCAGCTCTGTAGGCTCTCAAGTAGGGGACCTTTCTCAGGCTAGCAGGCTGAGACCCTCCACCTGGAGATGCCATGGCTTGCACCTGGGAGGGCGCTGCTAGACATGCCCAGCAGGCTCCCTGCCACCTCCACCTTCCAGTGCTTAAACAGTAGGAGGGAGAGACCAGGGGAAGCACCTGCCCTTAGGGATGCACCATGTTTCTCTGGCACATGCTTAACGTCAGCAGCTGCTCATTTCAGTTTCCTCCCCATTTCCTAGTTTTACGTTAGAAGACAAGGACGAGCTCATCCAGCAGGTGAGAGGAACAAAAGGTTGTGCAAATGTCTCCACAACTGTCTCAGCTACATAAATATCATCTTTAGTGGACACTAACATCTAATGAATAAGATACACAACTCTGACCATAGATTAAAACTACCACAGTTCATTCCATACTTCAGGAGTGGGCAGACTTCACACTTTCAGGATCTGCTTTGCTTATTTTCCTAGATTTCCAAGATCCACCAAGCAGAGCCGAGGACAAATAATGACTTAGGAAGAAGAATGGATCTATGAATGGAGGCACATGGCATCCCCACATGCATCTCAACCTAGGAATTTGTTTTCCTAGGTTTTCAGAGCCAGAACTGAGCTCAGAGTCCTTCCACACAAAAACTCACCCCTGGTTCTGTTCAAGCTTTCTTCATTTCAGCAGCCTTATTCAGGGGGGAAATACTGTAGCTCAACAATCAAGTTCAAAAGTTGGGAGTTAGAAATCCATGGTGATGGATTGGGAATCACACAAAGAACTACCAGTAAATCCCAAATCTACCTTCTGCTCGCCCAGATCCTACTTCATCGGAAACAATCCATACTCTACCCATAACCATGCAACTGAACTCAGCTGACCCTCACTCTCAGTCAGTCGGACCGTGGTCACGAAAGGACATGTGTGACATGTTGAAAGGCAATTAATTCATCCCAAGTCCTCTTCAAAGGAGAGCCTTTAGCCATCCTGTCTCCCACTTCTCCCAGTTTTAATCCTTAAACCTACTGTGCTCCTAGAAATTGAGGCATCACACACTTCTGAGCGTCTGCACTCCGGTAGGACAGCAGGGGACAGTCGGAGCTCACTGGGCTGAGGCTCCTGCTGCACACGTTGTTCTGAGCACATTGCTGGCTATATGGGGGTGGTGATGTAGTAACGGAGAAGCGTGCACAATGCCGGCTGGGCAGATAAATGCCCTTCTGCGTCAGGGCAATCATCTGCTTCCAGCACCTCCTCACCACATCAGTCCTGTCCCATCCCCCAAGGGGGTGGAGATTCCAAAGGACTGTGCCCTCTTGGGCAGCCTGTCTGGGAAAAGTACCCCCCCACCCCCACCCCCCCGCATCTTTCCACTCACCCTCTCCAAAGGCACAGGCAGGCGGCAAAGAGGCAGGTATTCATGCGAGGGCTCCTTGGAGCCATGCTGAGCTCTGAGTTGGCCGTGCACTGGGCTGCTCTCTGGTTGGTTTGGATGGCACCCGCTCCCTCATGTCCCTGGCAGGGAGGGCCGGGTGTTGAATGCTCTGGAAAAAAAGAGAACTGGGGCTGAGATGTAGAAGCAAGCAGCTCACCCTTCCGCAACAGCGGCCTCCTGTCTGGCCAGTGCGCAACCGAGAGGGAAAGCTGCATGCAATCGCATTTGGATCTTTTATGGAAGCTGCCAAAGAAGGGGATTTCCCCTGGAGAACAGCTGATACATCTTTTCAAACAGCCTCCCCCAACCTGGCGCCCTCCTGATGTGTCGAGCGGTAACTCCTGTCCTTCCCAGCCAGCATGTCCTCCGGCTGTGCTGGCTGGGCATGATGGGACTTGAAGTAAAACCCTTCTGGAGGGTGCCAGGTAAGAAAAGCTTGGCTTACATAAACGGAATCCCTAAACCGCCTTAGTGAAATTCACCAGCCACTCCCACCCTGCCCAATTTGAGCCAAATTTTGGCCTCTCCATTGCCTTCTAAAAATAGTTGCTAACAATTCAAGCACTGCTCCTGACCGGCGTTCCTCCAATACATTAGACTCGAGGCCAGGCTAGGTTGGCTATTCAACCGGTGCGGGGGAAAAGCACAGTTGGACAGACCGAGGAGGGCACACGCCTTCCACAATCCCTGCCTGCACACGCGAACGGAACCCAGTTCAAACCAAACACGCACACCAACTTAAGGTGCGGGCACTGAAGTAGGATTGCCAGCTGTTTTCCCTAACGGAACCGCGGTGCTTGTTCGCCAAGATGACAGGCAGACATTAAACTGGTGCAGTACAGCCCGTGGCGAAGATGCAGCAACGGGAGAAGCCACTGCCCGTCGCACTCCTGCCTGTCACAGCGCAGCCGAAGGCACAGGTGGCGTGCCGGGGGAGCGGGCCGGAATGGCAGGTTTCGTCCTGAACCGAGGCGAGCGGAGCTCTGCAGCGCCTTGCTCCGGGGCGCCCCCAGCTCAGTCTGCTCCAGACGCACCGGCCCCGACGCCTGTCCACAGCTTCAGTCGGAGCACAGCGTGGCCACATCCCGCGCTGCCACCCCGGCGGGCGCCCCGCTTCCGAGCCCGCGAGTCCGAGCTCCCCGACTCGCAGCACGGAGCGCGCCTGCTCTCCGCTTCCCTCGCAGGGGCGTTCCTCTCGCGAAGCCCCAGCCAGTCCCGAAGTTACGGACACAGCCGGCGGGAGTCCCGCGCGCCCCTCTCCCGCCCGTCCCCGGCAGGTCCCCCTCTCGCCCTCCTCTACCTGCCGCTTCTCGCTCGCTGCTCGCTCGATCTCCCTCCGCACGGCCGCTGCAGCCTCGCCCGGGCGAGGTTTCCCCTCCCCATCCGGGGGCAGCTGGAGCCGGGAAGCAGCTGTTCAGTTCGGGTGCGGTTCCAGTGCCCACACCCACGGGCGTGGACGCGATCTCGCCGTGGGTCCCACGGGCAGCATTCGGCGCCGCGATCTGTGCTGTCCAAACACACGGTCGGCCCTCGCCCCACCTTCTCCCACAGCTCCGACCACGGGGACCGCCTTGCCCTCCAGCAGCCAGAGCGCGGAGAACCCAGGAGTTCTGCCCTCCCCCCGCAAGACATCCTGAATCCGCGCTCTTTGGGCGCCTGGATCTCGGCCTCCCCCCTTCAAGCCGCTGCAGCGGTGCTTCTCTCTGATAAGTAGATTAGAATGGGACCTAGAGGGGAACCTTTCTCTCTCTCTCTCTCTTTCTCCCACGGTGGACGCTTCCTGCTCGCTCGCGGGAGACTCTCCGCTCACCTCTCACCTTGCTCGCGCGCCTTATTCCCTCTCAGCCCAAACGGTCCGCTGCAGCGCTCCTCCAGGCTCATCCTTGCCTTCATTCCTCCACTCTCCCCTTCTTAGGCTCCGCCGCAGTTGCTCCTGCCTTGGGCGTCCCAGCCTCGCGCAGATCACCCTCCTTCCTTGCTGGCGGCGGGGGGGGGGGGGGCGCGGAGACTCAAGCAGGAGGTCAAGAGCAAAAGGCCATCGTGCCCAACGCTCCCTCCATCACTCCAAAACTGAACGATGCACTGTCTCCTTTCCACCTGGACAGCTCCCGCGCGCTCCCGAGAGCTGGGCAGGTGCATTTCCCCCCAAAAAAAACTGCTGCTGCTGCTACGCGGCGGAGAGCTCCTGACGCTCCGGACTCCAGCCGGTTTTTTCGGAGAGGAGGCCCAGAGTCTGGGTCTTTCTAAAGGGAGTTCGATGCCTAGAGAACCCACAAGAGGGTGGAAATCCCAAATCTGTGTACGTGAGAGCCCTTCTTGCTTCTCGTTGACTACAACGGGGCCCCTGGAATAGAAATAGATCCGATATCTCCCCTGGTTTACTACTTCTGAATGTTACCTGCAAACCAGGGCGCTCATGGGAGAAGGCTGCCTCCAACCTCATGGGCTGGCGAGGCAGCACCGACTAGCCTGGAAATAGAGCATCGTAAAATGTCCCGCTCTGCTCTTCCAGTACCAATTGCATGGTATAGAGCTGCAAGGTGGTCGATCGCCCAGCGTGCTCCTTGTCAGAAGCAGTGGCATTGCGATGCGATGAAAGGAAGCGTGTGGGGGGGGGGTGCGGAGGGAGAGGTGCGCTCTTGAGTGTGTATTGACTCGGTTGGCAACGTGAAAAGTCCTGCAGCCACAATGCAGGGTCCTAAATGAGCTAATCAGCAGCAGAGTTTATATATGTGGGTAAAAACAAATCTCCAGTCTTCTGAGTTAGGTAATAGGGCAATCAACATTTCAATTGCAAAGATTGTGCAAGATTTCCAGTTCTTTTCAGCTTTTTGTCAGGCTAGGCGCTAATCTGCCTAGCCAGATGAAGTGTTCTGAACAACGTGAAAGCTTGCACAACTTTTGGTGGTTGTACATTTGATCTTTATCAAAGCACCTCCTAACTGGAGTCAAGAGGAAACGTTACCAGAAGGTCCTCCACAGAGCGAGCAGGCACCAAAAAGACGGCGTGGCTGTGACAACCCACTCTCTAGTCCCGCGGTCTTATGCCCAACCCGTGCGCCTATCTCCGTGTAAGATCGCGCTGGGCGACCGGCGCGCTCCCCTGCAGAAAGCTGGTCAGACGAACCGCGTTTCCTGTGTATTGACTTCATTTGTGCTCTCACGCTGCTTTATGCATTTATTTTGGAGCCCCGAGTTTATTACCGTCGAATAAATCCGATCAATAATTGCAGGGGGAACGCCCGTTGCGCCAAGGTCAGCTTTGCACTTGGGCTGTGTGTGTAATTCCAGAAGGCACACATGTAATTACTCAGTGGGAGCCAAAGGCAATCTAGTCCTCCTCCCTTCCCCGTCCAGCCATCCAACCACCAGCAGCCCCCACAAATGGGCTTACACAAAATCCCGAAGAAGGTGATAGATGCACCTTGAATGGGGGCCTGCAGAGCAAGCCATCCATCCATCACCCACAGTAGGACGAGGTGAGCATTGCACTGCATTGGTTGCGCGACCACCAGCGGGCAGATTGTGCAGCCGCTGGCCTGCACCACAAGGCGCTCGGAGGCCCAGGTTCGCCGCCCGCTCCCTGCCCGCTGGCGCCCGTCCCGCCCCCGGGCCTCGACCTCGTGCACGGCTCGGCTCTCCTTCCAGCAGAGCTGGCGCGAAGGGAAAGCCGCCCTGCCCCATTCCTGCGACAGGGACTTTCCAAGGCGGGCTCGACTGATCCGCAGGCGCGGGGGGTGGGCTTTGTCTGTGCCCGTTCCCCAGAGCCGGGGCCTTCCC